TCCACATGTCTCAAAATATACTGACAAACACTAAAACTAAGGATATTCTATCTATAATTTCAGTTAGTTTTATTTAGTTTTGTAAAAAGGTTATATATATATATAGTTTTAGTTGTCGTTCTTTCATTTTATTACAGTTTTTATTTATTTCAGTTAACTTAGATGTTTTTTCAATTTCAGTATTCATTATTTAGTTAATTTTAGTTAACTATAATAAACCTGGTGTGCATGCGCAGTTAAGTCTCTTTGGCCCATAATGCACCATTTCAGTCTGCTTAAATATAAAAAACTAAATTAGAAGAGAAATGGTTTTTCTGTTTTCTCTCTTCCTGCTCCTTCCTCCTGTCAGCTCAGACACCAGAGTTCTAGCTCCGCCTCTTTGCTGCCGAAATGGATAATTTTCTGAAAACGCACCTCTGAAAAGGACAAACACTTTTAGTGTACTTTTTTTAAGTGCTATTGGTTCACAAGCTTAAGTAATGGTGATTGGATTTTACTGCTTGCAGCTATAATAAATGTCAGGAATATTTGCAAAATTTCCAAGAAAAAAAAAACACCACAAATTTTTGATGAGCCCTCATGATTGTTGCAAAAGTTGTTTCATCRTTTCAGTGAACAAATGACTAATAACATGTGTGACAGCAGCTGAAATAAGGTCAGGTCTTGTAATTGTGTTGACTTATTGAGCCTGATTTAAAAGATCTATTTTTACAAAACATTATTGAAAGTGTATTTTTTTTATTATGGATGATAAATCTGTATGTCAAAAGTGCAACATAATTGTAATTTTTTGCTATTTTCTTAGTTTTCAAAATATTTTTTAAAAACGTTTGTTGTCTTCATTGAGTCAGACATGATTATTTTAATAAATGAAGCTTAAGCACAAATTCAGACTGGAAGACTCTCCACCTCACCTGCTCCATCCAATCACTGCGTCACGCTCCCAGCTGCTGTCAGATCCTCRCCTCACCGTAYYAAWCAACTCACAGAGATCCAGGTCTAAAGGCCCAGCACCCAAGGATCAGTCTGCCCTCCAGATATGTTCAACCCACCTCCACCTTCATCTCAGGCTCTTTCTGGCTGCCTCTTCCCTCTGGCCTCCACACCAGTGTCCGAGCCCCGGGGGGAAGACGTTATTCCTGATTTCTAGCTCACAGCAGTTTGTCTTCAGCCGGGGCTCGGGCGCCGAAGAACTTTCATATCAATAAAACTGTTTAACTGCTATATTTCTGTGTGTGAGTCTTTCCAGGTTGAATTTCACTTGGATTTTTATTTAGTCTAGAAACACAAAATCGTTTACAAATTATTAATTAAAGTTTGTTTGTTTGTTTGTTTTTATTATCTTGGCACATTTTGAATTTCTGCAAATCAGAAAGAAGTTGGCTCTTCTGCTTTGTAAAAATAAAAAAATAAACTTTAAAAATAATGTGTTATATCGTAACCTTGCAGCTTCACCTCTGCCTCTCTGGAGTTTTGCATGTTCTCACCTCGAATGAGTGTCTCCTGGAAGAATGTTGTCATTACACCTAATCTATGAGCAAAGTTAAGGGGGACTTTCATATTTGTAATTTTGAATTTAATGGCTATAGTTAGTCACACAGTTGGGTCAGATAAAAAATGATACTTATCCTTTTTATAAAGCTTTGTTCATGTTTCAGTGTGTAAAATAATAAGTTATGGGAAATTAAAGGTATTTTTTAGTTCTAAGTTTTTACACATCAAAACATACTAAATAATCTGGTCTTTATTGGGTTTTAAGATGTTTCAAATCTAGCTTCAACTGTGTAAAAACACGTTCAGCCAAACACAAACTGTGAAGCACGGTGGTAGAGGGGAGGTGAGTTAGTCTCATTTTGCAGCCTTGCRGTCACTGAGACACCCATGAACTCTTCACTTTACCAAAGTGCCTTATAGGCCGTCCTGAAGCTTGGACCAAACTGGACCATAACTCAGGATGATCCTAAACACAGCAACAGATCTACAACAGAGTGACTGAAATGGGACATTTAAAAATAAAAAGGGTGTTATAGTGGTCCAGTCAAAGTGAAATGCTGTGATGGAGCAGAACTGAAAGAAAAGTCTGAACTGAACTGAAGCAACAATGTAAAAATAAAACCATTGAGAGATTTATGAAGTCCAGCATCCCTCCAGTTTGTTGAACACATTGGCCTCATGCAAGAACATGTTCGTATTCTTCTCCTAAATTTCTCTTACTTTTGTTCGTACAAAGGGTTCRTACGAACATGTCACRTCAGATTCAACAAACTCTTCTATCTKCAGGAAAAGTGCGTAAATGAGCTGCGTAAATTCCACCTGTTCTATCCAGCTGCTCGTGCACGTGAGAGGAGATTAGCATAATTACCMCCCCAAAAACACCATATAAGGCTATGTTTCCTGCCTCAGATACCAGGAAGTGTTCATTCATTCATGAAAATTACAGCGAAATCTAAAAAGAACTTTAAGTTCAGAGATTGAAGTCCGTCTGTCAGAGATCAAGAAAAGAAAATCTGTCATTTTTAGCAGGTCAGCTGTGGGATAAAAAGAGCTGCTAAAAGTATAAACAACTGTGTTAAATCATTTTCATTTATTCAGAAGCCGCAGCGCTGCGCACCGTACATCCCCCCCCCCTCCCCCCCCCGCGCGCGCTGCGGTGGTCTCAGATGCAGGTTTGAAATAAGCATTTTAAAATGTTTTCAAAATAAGTCTGGCACTTTGGAGAAAACCCAGGACTCGAATGTGTACCTCCTCTGGTCTGGGAACGTCTCAGAGTCCCCCAGGACGAGCTGGAAAGTGTCGCTGCGGAGAGAGCGCGGGGTCTTTCTCCTGCTGCCCCACTGTCGCACCTGATAGCGGGTAAGCCGGCCGGACGGACAATTTATATTGTTAGTCTAAATTATTACATTTAAAATTATAACTCTAATTCAAGCAGAATAGCCTATTGTCAACATAATTATGGAGTGTGATTTATTTTCAACTTAAAATATCTTCAAACTAACGAAATATAAAGTTATTAATGAAGAAAACCCGTCTGGATAACAACAGACTGACTGTACGTAAAATATACGACAGGTCTGGACCRCTCGTAAATTTTGTTCGTATCTGAAAAAAATCTTAGAATACAAAAACATTGGTGAATGCCACAAATTCTCCTAAATCACTCGTACGCACAATTTAAGAACAAATCTGTGCGTACGAACGGTTCTTGCATGAGGCCCAATGTCCAGAACTTGACATAATGTTTTGACTTATAAAAGATTTTTTTAGGCTAAGGAGAAAAGAGTGACACACCTAAGTGTGCGAGAGTTCTTCTATATGGTGTGTGGTCGTAATGAAACAATAAGTGTCATAGCTGTGTGGATTTCCCTCTTCGCCCTGATTCAGCTACAGGAGGATCTGGTTCTCCTCTACTTCTGTTTTTTTCTTTACAAATGTCCCAATCTGGGAATCTATCTGATTCCACCCTTCTGCTTTTTTAATTTATTTATTTATTGGTTACAACAGTGACTTCCTTCATGTTTTAATGCAGAAAGTCTTTAAAAGGTCTGACCTAGACCTAGACCTGACTTCAGCTTTAGACAGTTTTGTTTGATGGTTTTATTTTGACCAATCTGTTATTAGTTCCTCTTCCAGCTGCAGAACAAAGACTCAAAAAGAGAGGCAACTTTTACTTTCTGTTTTGTTCTGACCACTCATAGCCTTATGTGTCATCTCGGTCAGTTTGATTGCATCAATCTGGAAAAACCTCTGGACTGCACGCTGATCCTGAGATCAACCTGAGCCATGGGAGTCAAAAACTAATGCGGTCTGTTTTGGAGGCTCAAAACCTCATGTGCTTTCTTTTTTTATCAACTGGCTGGATGTGAATTCGCAGGTTCAGCAACTTTCTTTTTTCTTTAACTACAGTGGAAAGTTGATCTTTTGTCACAGGATTGAGTTCCTGAAACAGCTCATTCAAATCAAACAGTTGGTTTTAGTTCTCAGTTCGATGCACAGCTGTCTGCTGCAAACATGAACGAAGAGACTCCACTGCTGTCTGAATCTCAGGTGAGACTCCAATTTTTTTTTGTTTTTATTTATCAAGAAATTGAATCAATAGCATTTTGATTCTCGTTTTCTTTGGAAAATCATGCAACTGTTGTTTCAAGAATATAGTCTTTGTTGATTAACATTAAAATACTGTCTGATTTGCATGGCAGCACTGGGATTTGAACACACCTTAACAATTGGAGATACCTGCTAAAAAGTGGCTGCACGCAATAAAATAGATCAATGCAAATCAGTCGAATGTGAACAATCTTTTTAGCAATAGTCAGTTGGATTTAGTAATGGAAGAAGACTTTAACACGTTATGTTTAACCCATGCAAATATCATTTTGAGGGGCTTAGCTCTTGCCGTTTCCCTAAGAGGAAGTTACTGCAGTTTGAGTTTTAACTGCATCCATAAATCTCCTCCTTGTCTTTTTTCCTTACAGCTTCATCTCTAATATCTTTCTACCAGTATGTCCACTGTCCCTCCTCTGGACACGTCCAAACCATCTCAGTCTCTTACTTTATTTCCTGGTGGTTCAACCGGTGCTGTACCTCTGATGTCTGATGTCACTCCCAAGGAGAACCTCGGCATCTTCAGCTCTACTACTTCCTGTTCTGTTTCCTGTCTTTTTGTCTTTGTCTCCAAACCATGCAACATAGCTGGTCTCAATACTCTCTTGTAAACCTTTGATCATTGTTGCCACCGGTTTGTCAAAAATGCCCTACTGAAACTTTTCTTTACCCTGCTTGGACTCTCTCCTTCACCTCTTTATTTTATAAACAGTAACGTTTTTGACTGTGACATTTCTGATGATGTAATACTTAACAGTCATCTCCTACAAATAAACCAGTCCTAAATCTTTAATTTGAGTAAATAATGTTTTTCCCCCACTTTGCATACAGTATTTAGTTGTTTTGGGCATTGCATGGTGCAAACTGGATCTTTRATCACTCCCTGATTGTTTTCATGTGTTTAATTTCTGACTATTATATTACAATGAGAGCACAGACACTTGTTTTAGTTTAAAAAGGAAAAAGAACTAGTGCTGAACAACTTGAAGGCATGCACTTTTGCAAAAATGTAAACTTTGTTTATAATAGAATGGCCCAAAGTCCAACAAGCAAAATTTGTCTGGCCCAAGTCTGGCCCACACAATGCATTAACATTCTGCTAAAGAATGATGTGGTTTGCCAGAGGCTGTCCATGCATGGGCCAGCACCACATAAACCAAACCACAACTGGGCCAGTTGTGGCATGCCAGCTTAAAACAGAGCCTCAATTGCCAGAGCTGGCCCACATCTGGTTGACAAATTGCTTGTCCTGCCAGCAGTGCCAAATTGACACCAGACCTGGCCCACACCTGTCTGCTACATGGAGTCACAAGTCTGTGCGTGACAACAACTATAACATTTACACAAAWGTTTAGGTTTTATTAGACAAGCACTAAAATATATTTAGCACAAAAGTGAGTAAATTTGTGTTTGGTATATTATTTATTTGTTGTAACAATGCTTCTTGGCAATAAATCGTATACCAAGCACCTAATTGGCAGAACCTGAGGGTATCAGATGCTCCAAATAAGTTTCAGTTATAAAAATATGCAAAATAAGCTGTTTGGCAGAGAATATTTGCAATATCTTTCATGWGTACAACCCACATACCCAGCTACTGCTCATCCTACAAATAATTGTTCCTTACAAATGTGGCATCATTTAAAAGGATCCCCGATTAGTTGTAACATTAGACTATATTTAATAAACATATGTTTTAACTGTAAAATAAAGACTGTAAAAATACTGTAGGATGTTTAGTTTTTATTATTTTTAAACTAAAAGTTTAAAAATATAGTACACGGACGGGGCCATTTTATTTACATGCAAAGCATTCTGGGTAAATGATGACATCAACTAGGTCATTGGTGCGAGGTTGCTAGTGAGTTATATCCACCCTGAATGTTAATCTTGGACAATATCTGATGATTGGCTCTTTAAAATGAAACCAGAGAGCGTTGACAGAGAGGAGAAGGTAGAAATGACTCAGCCTGTAACTGAAAATATAGATGGAGGACCTCAGTTTAGCTTGTTTGTCGCACTAGCACCGAGCTAATACATATGATGCAATATAGCGTCAGTGCTAGCACAAAGGCTAACAGGCTAAGCTGAGGTTCTTCTTCCGTGAAGCAGCTCTGTTGTCCTCCATCTATATTTTCAGTTACAGGCTGAGTCATTTCTACCTTCTCCTCTCTGTCAACGCTCTCTGGTTTCATTTAAAAGAGTCGATCGTCAGATACTGTCCAAGATTAACCTTCAGGGTGGATATAGCTCGCTAGCAGCCTTGCGCTGATGACCTACCCACATCATAATTTACCCAGAATTCATGTCTGTCCGTGTTAAAATATATATTTTTAAAAATGTACAAAACAAAACAGCCTACAGTATTTTTACAGTCTTTATTTTACAGTTAAAAAATGTTTATCAAATAAATTCTAATGTTACAACTAATCAGGGATCCCCTTAAATGAGAAAATAACAGGCTTTTCATTTGTAAAAGATTTATTGCCAAGAAGCATTGTTACAACAAATCAATGATCTACCAAACACAAATTTACTTATTTTTGTGCTAAGTTTATATAATTTGTATTTTTGTCTCCCTTCGTCTCAGATCAGTAACACCAGACTGTACCTGGCCGTGTTCTCAGCGGTCCTGGGCAACTTCAACTTTGGTTATTCCCTGGTTTACTCGTCTCCCGTCCTGCCAAAGTTCAAAAGCCCTGATGTGGACCCTCGGCTCAGGATGGACACGGAGCAGGCCGCCTGGTTTGGATCCATCTACTCTTTGGGCGCAGCAGCCGGTGGGCTGGGGGCTATGCTGCTCAATGACCTGATTGGTCGGAAGCTGAGCATCATGATGTCAGCGGTGCCGTCGACCCTCGGGTGGGTCTCAGAGCAAACACATATACTTATTRAACAAAAACTAAGTTGATAATGAAATGTGTATTTGCAAAAAACAAATATTTTGTTGGGTGTCTAACATAAATTTCCTGGATAGAAGGGGTGCACCGATAAATCAGCCCCAATTTCCCTAATTTTGAGAGATCTGCACTTTTAGGACCTCTGCTCCCTGTAGGTTCCCTGCAGTGTGTAGCACACACTACCAATAAACACGTGGACGAAGCTGCTGGCTTCAAAGAAACAAAGTGGTCTAATCCTGCAAGGAATAAAAAAGGAAATCTAAAATGTCATGAGTTGAAAAAAATGTTCCAGTTGATATTCTAAGCTTTAATAAGTTGGTTCATGACTTCCCAACTTGTTTTAATGGACAACATTTTGAAAGCGTTTCTTGTTCTGTGTCTCAGGTACATGCTGATGGGAGGAGCTGTGGACCTGTGGATGCTTCATTTTGGCCGTTTCCTGACTGGAGTTGCCGGGGGGATGACTGCAGCATCCATACCAGTASGTTACCATGGTAACTGAGCTTTTGGGGGGGGGGGGCAGTCAATCTATAGAGCCTGTGCAGCTTAYAGCAGAGAATCACCTGATCTATGTTTATCCCTTGTGTTGAAAGACAAGCATGACCCCATTTATGTGTCAGTGATAAATGAGTATAACTAGAAGCAATACMATGAAAACTGCCATCCATCATAGATGGTCTTGACTACATTGACTCTAAATATTATTTTTTTGTTTCAGTTTTTGAAGACGTAGACCTTKTAGATATGACTATACTAGACTATACTATATGTTTTAAATATACGATATTTAAAATATATGCAAATATGATTAGATACAATACAAAACAGGATGCAATACAACATGATGCAATTAAATACAATAAAAACATGCTACTATACACGTTTTCCCCCTATAGTTC